GATTGGGTGGATTTGATAGCGGATTCCAATTAAATATTTCATTCATTGACCTGCAACAAGTATGCAGAAAGTAAAGTCAAAGTGGAGCTCCTGGCCATCATTATTATCCATTATCCAGTATTGCAATCAGGAAAATAAATACGAAAAGCAATTGAACTGATAAATATATTCCATGCATCAAAGCAAAATGTGTTTAAAGTATTATTAAACTCTCAAACTTGTTTTCAATAATGAATCAAGATTAAACAAAAATACATGGCCCAGCAAAGCATGAGCTTACATTTTTGACCAAACACTTACAGTCATCATGTTTCTGAACAGCTCCAACTCTCTCAGCTCAGCTTCCCTGAACTTCCTGTCCAGTTCAAAATCACAAGGGACAGAGCAGTCTCCAGCTGAGGTCCATCTACTAGCTTGAAAAAGGGGGAGAGAGGAGGCAGGAAGTAGTGGGGTGCACCCATTTCCTGGCAGCTTACAACTTTATTCTGTCGGGCTCAACAGTCCTTCTGGATTCCTTATGCGCGGACGAAGTGGTTATTCCCAAACCTGATAAAGATCCCTCCCAATGTGGGAGTTAACGTCCGATAGCCCTCCTCAACCTAGACTTTAATCTTTTCGCGAAGATGCTGGCGAACAGACCCCTACCTAATATTCCTGCTCTCGTCCACGCAGACCAGGTGGGATTTGTACCCGGGAGGGAGGCCCGCGACAACACCACTAGGGTGCTAAATGTGATCCACTACACCCCTTCCACCTCGACACCCTTGCTGCTTCTTTCTACAGATGCAGAGAAGGCGTTTGACCGCATGGAATGGCACTTTCTCCGGGCTACACTCCATCACATAGGCCTGGGATCTGGAATGCTTCAGTGGATCTCTGCACAGGGGCGTCCCAAAGCCGGGGGTCACCCAGTCTCTAGACCGGTTGACACCCCGCTGTGTCATCATCGCACGTGCGTGTGACGTCACCTCGCGCTTGCGCAATGACGTCATCGCGCATGAGCGTACATCTAATTGACGCCTGCCGGCGGCCAACTTTCTGATGGACGCTGGCAGAGAGAGGAGGAGATGTTCACCCGGCGGGATGAGGTATGCCGCCGCGTCCCCTCCTCTCTCCTGACACTGTTGGGCTCTCGGTCCATGACCGAGTGCCCGACTTTTTAGAGGGGGTAACACCGAAATGACTGTGAGTCATTTTTGTGTCATCCCCTACAAAGGTGGCAACTGGGTGTGGGCCGCAGCCCACGCACCCCCCTTGTGATGCCACTGTCTCTGCACACAGTCCCACTCTGGTACATGCTGACAAGGTACAGGCTTTTCTACTCAGGATGTGGCTGCTTTCTCAAAAAATAAGAACTATAAGACTTTTCATATCTGTTGTTTGGATGCACCTGTGATCAGCCTATTATATCTATTGATAATCTATCAAGAAAATGTGGATACTTCCACTAGTTGCATTTAAGAATGGATAAGAAAATTAATTTGTATGTGTGTATTTTTTATTTCTGCGTGAACTACAAATTTTGAATTGATATAACCCATTAACTCAATTAAACGTGTTGTCCCAGCATATCCTCTCCTGTTATAACATCAGCATTGTAATAGGAATACATATTAGAGTTGTTTTTGATAATAAAATCAAAGCATACGTGAAAAAATCCCTTTTATGTAGTGAGTGCTGCATTCCGTCTGCCCATCACTTTCATAAACTTCCTGGATACCCAGTGTGCTTTGCGTCTCTTTCCCTGCTGCTTGATGTGATGTAATCTGTATTTGGCAATACTACATATCTCATCATGCATTGCTTCCAGCAAGCAATGATGATGTTACATTGTTCAGACGTTGAGTTGCAGTTCAGAAGGCAGATTCTGTGAAAGTTGTAAAAAAATGGAAGTGAAATGATGTCAGTGCATTGAGGAAGTACATCTTAGGGTCACCTTCAATAAGTACGTTTGCAAACTTCTAGATGGATATGGTTATTAGGAGTGGGATATAACTTATGGAAATTCAATATAGAAATACCGATTGATTTTTAGTTTTTGACCAGAGATACCCTTTAAGACTTGTTCATCAGATTTCTGTTTTCTCCTGCAGTGATATCTGCATGTGAAGCCTGGTACTACATTCCAGCCATTCAGAAAGTGGAACTCTGCCCAAACATTTTTAGTGAAGTGATGACAGCTTTCATCCCCTGCTGGGTGTTTGCAGATGCTTGTTACTCTGTTGGGGAGATCTCCTGTATCCTAAATCTAAAATCACAGATGGGGCTTTTCTCTAAACATCCTGGTTTCCCTATCTGGTATCCATTCTTATACATATATCAATACAATGTCAAGTAGGGGGGCAGGGGGCACAGATTGCTTGGTACTTCTTTCCTTCCATCAGTTTTCATAAATCAATCTCTCTGATCACTTCTGTATAAGATCATTCCTGTGCAGTTTAATTTCCCTATAGTCCCCCATTTTAGGCTTATTTAAGTGTTTGCCACAGACTAGAATGCAAACAGCAGAGAACGGTTCTTTGGAGTTGACTTTATGAGGTGGCTATGAAGACTCGGGAGAGACTGTGTTTGCTTTATTGGCTCAGTGGAAATGCGTGAATAGACAAATAATACTTTCCCTGGCAGGATTATAAATATAAGAAAACTGTGTGTCTCCTGCTGTGAGCCTCTACTAACAAAACTCCAAGAATGTATTTCTAGATTTATCCATAAACATTTTCCGCTTCTTCCACATTGAAATGACATCCAGAATGGCAGGACACATAGTGAATTTTACAATGTACTCCCTAACAGCAAAGGTGTAACTGTTATGGGCACCAAACATGGAGCAACTGTGAGATCCTTGAAACTAAATTGGGCCTTAGACTTCACAATTCCCTCTACCCTATGCCTAAGTATGGTGTTTGTGAGCGTAGAATAATGACACTGCAATGAGGCATAACCTACCAACTTTTTATTTTATTTTAAACTGTGTTTATTTAGCTCAGCGAACAAAAACAGTTTTACAGAATAATCACATATGCAGTAACAACAGCAGTTGTACAGTATCCAAAAAGTAAAAAAACAACTTACCAACTTTATAAGATATGATATAGGGAGGGACACCTTTCAGCACAAAGCATATAGGCAAAGGAATCCATGATGAGAATCCATGTAAAATTCAGATGCAAAAATGGCTGGTGTAACTGTGTCAGGCTATGGACATTTAAACATTCTTAACAAGCAGTCGATTAGCTTTAAAACAAGCCCTCACTGACCTCTGTAACTGCAGGTACTGTGGAGCAATTCATCCTCAAAGTTTACATTAGAAGCAGTTACACATTAAACCCTGTGATGCTTTTTCATTCCTGCTTTTCCTTTAGGCTAGAGTTTGGAAAATAAGATGAAAGATTTAAGGTAATACAGAGGGGGCTTTTTTCAATAGCAGTCTATATAACAAACCAGAAAGAAGGACAAATATGGAAAAAATAGGGATAGTTGGGATCTGCGAATAAAACCATCTGTTGGGCCAAAGCAAAAAAGGTAAACGCTGTTGAATTAAGCTTCATCAGCTCTATTGTGTGGAGCTCTCTGTTCCTTTTTTCTGCTTGTTTTGGGAACTTGAGAGATCTTTTGAGTATGAGTTCTGCTGCTGGTCTACTATGCTTGCGCAGGAAAAATCTTTCTGGGGGTTTAATGTGAATTGCATGAGCCTCTATTAGGTCTTCACAAATACCTACCAATGATTTCAAAACAATCTTCTTTAAAGGTTTTACACTGGCCATACACTGTTAGCAGGACGTGGCCGAAATCTAAACAGTGTGATGCCCCACACTGACTTGTTGAAGGAGCCAGTCCCAAAATTCTAAGTCAAACAGTGACTGCCGCTGTTTGGCTGTTCGGGTATTCTGATAGTGGCAGACCCGCCGCTGTCACAATAGAATAGCCCGGCGGGCAACTAGGGGGTCATTTATAAAAGTTGCTGTTTGCACAGCACTAATGTCCGTAGATGGTGCTGCTGAGTATAGGAATCCCTATACTCGTCAGCACCATCTATGGGCTTTAGTGCCATGCAAACATTTATAAGCGAACTCCTTAGTGCATAAGTAGGGAAACTCCGGCCCTCCAGCTGTGTTGAAACTACAAATCCTGTGAGGCATTGCAAGACTTTGACAGCCACAGGTCTGACTCCCAGAGGCGGCAGATGTATGATGGGATTTGGAGTTTCACAACAGCTGAAGAGCCAAAGTTTGCCTACTCCGGCCTTAGCTTATGGTCACCTGTACACTACTATTCAGATATTTTTTGTTTTATTTCTTCATGTATTGGATTAGCACACAATGCTGGTACTACCCAGATTTATCAATTCCAATTCCATCACTACTCAGAAAATATTATGTTTTCCAGGATTATTTAGGTATATTTATATAATATTTGCATTAATAATACAAAGCATTTTGTTTAGTAAGTCAGTGCAGGGAGAAATGAAGATAGCCACAGTGTAGTCACCCATTGCATCCAATCAGATATAAGTTTACCATTGTCAGATAAGTGAAGGACTCCAATGGGTTGTGGTAAGTGACTTCAATTTGCTGATTTACTGAGAGTGATCAATAAGTTCTTCATACACAGGAATATATATGTGGCATCATTATAGCAATCAGCTATAATAAAACTATAAAACTATTTGCATGTTTCTACCTTAGAAGCAGGTGCGGGATGCAGTGATAACAATTTTGTCATTTCTGTCTTGCTATGCAGTCTTGTTACCTCAATTATTCTCTGTATCCTGACTGTATATAAATATTTGGATCAGGGAGTGAACGGGGTTAAAGTGAGCCCTACTAATGGCTGACGGTATACCCTTGTAAACATTGTTGTTGGATCACTGCCCAGTGACTGTTTTTAATTAGTTGATCCACATTTCATATTGTAGCCAGCATGCTGTGTAACCGTTCTTGCTTAATGTCACTCCCCTCATCCGTCCTCTCTCTCTCTCTCTCTTTTTTTTTTTAATCTCTAACTTTCTTTGCTGTAGTACAGTGAGAGTATCCTTTAGTCCAGCTTTGTGCTCTCCTGTGTGAGGGGATTCTAACAACACCAGACCCCTTAGGAGTAGCAAACCAGTTCTCCCCAAATCTCCCCCTTCCTTCCCTCCTTTCTAGTTCTACGTGAGGAGCAGGAGGAGTTTGAAAAGTAGACAATCCGCAAAACTTACACAGCACCAAAGAAGAAAACTAAACCCACTCCCTGAGGCCCCCAAGAGCTAGCAATCCATTGGGGCCTCTGGGGGTGAGACCTCAAAATGGATAGAAGGCTGATTTTTCTTTCTGTTTCTCTCTGCTGCTTGGGGTGGATGCCAGCCTCCGGACAGGTGGAGAAGGTCAGAGTCATGTTCACACCCATGATCTGCCGTGTTCACTGCGTGGGGGGCCGATGCAGGAACCATTGTGAAAAAGGGAACATGACCACAGTCTACAGCGACGAGGTCGCAAGAAACAACGGGGAGAATGGATTTCGAGCCTGTGAGTATGACTTCATTCTCTCATGTCACGCATGGAAAATCTTGTACAGAAAACATGCACGGAAATCATCTTTGTCATTCATGGCAATCTGTAGTCGCTTAGCACCTCCTTGCATGTGTTTTACAAGACATCCCAGCTGTGACTGCATTGTAGGTTTGATATTACTAAGGAAAGTCTGTATCGTTAGGTAGTATAATGTTCTTAAATAGAGAGTATTGTCTAATTTGTGTTGCATACAGATTTGGAAGATAAAGTAACAATGATTAGTTCAGACATCTAGCCTAGGGACTATGCATTTGCTGCTGAGGTTATATAAGATGTGAGCTGTGTATAAAAAGCAACTTGGCATACAAAATATACAAGTCCACTCTTTTTTTGGCAATTGACCAAATTTTGCAACTAAGGCCAGGAGAAGGCAACCTTGGTACAGTAGAGATCTGTAACTACCAAACTGTGCAACACCCAGTGGGGCAATATAGCCCATACCATAGCACTTGAAAAGTACTAGTGGTCCAGAGCAAAGTGTTTTTTCTTCACAGTTTGCATAGGTTTACAGATCCTCTACAACACACCCCCTTTTGACATTTGCCCAAGGTGCTGGACTGTTTATATGACCTTGAGTTACACTGAGTACATTTGAACCAGACCCTCAGGTCCAGGCTTACATTTGTACTTGTCCTTGTTTGCATTTCTCTGCTGGTTCCTCTTGGTCCCTCAATTGTACAAGTTGGTCTTCTTGGCATGCATATTGTAACAGCCCGCTATTTGGCAATTGACCAAACTTTGCAACTAAGGCCAGGAGCAGGCAACCTTGGTAAGGTAGAGATCTGCTTTAACTACCAAACGGTGCAACACCCACTGGGGCAATATAGTCTAAAAATTGGCACCTGAAAAGTACTGGGGGCCAAGAGCAATGCACTATTTTTACAGTTTGAATAGGTCCACAGATCCTCTACAACACCCCCACCCTCTTAGTATTTGCCAGAGGGGCAGACTGTTATCTGACCTTGAGTTACATAACATACCTTGAGTTAGTACTTACATTTATACTTGTTCTTGCTTGCACCTCTCTACTGGTTCCTTTGAGTCCCCCAAGTTTACAGTCTGGTCTTCTATGTGTGTACTGGGACCAGCACTATTTGGAGGTGAATATACAGGTACAGTATATGCTAATGGTGAATAACCTACTGTAAACTCACCATTGCAGAGAGATGTCAGAGTTAAGAAAAGTACCTTTTGGGCCAGTTCACACCATATGCAGTTGTGATGCAGTCCGTTTATTTGACTGCTGCAGTCAAAATACATCACAATGCTTTCCTATGGTCTTTCTTGTGCTTTTTTCACACTGCAATGGTGTGAATAAAGCACAAGAAAGCCCATAGGAAAGCATTGTGCTGTATTTTGACTGCAGCAGTCAAATAAACAGACTGCATCACAACTGAATATGGTGTGAACTGGCCCTTAGGGCCTCAGATGACCCTTCCTTCATGCAATAAGAATATTCAGCGCCTCTCCAATGATTTCCTAATTACTGCATATGAGACAATAATTGGGAGCATTGGGCTATCTCTTTTCATATCTGCCTTTTCATAATTGTTTAACAGAATGTTAAACAAACCAAACCCACCAGATCCCTTGTGATTGTGGTTTCCGTATATATCTGCAGATTTTTGTAATATTTGACATACTCAACTGGTATGTATAAAATGCTACTGTTCAGATAAACTGTGCATGCTCCACACACAATATTACTACTGCTTCTTCCAGCGGTTACACTTGCATCTTTTTTAAACTTGGGCAAATCTGTATTACACAAGTTTGGACAGAACTGTCATTCCAATCAAAAGGAAGCAGTAACAATGACAGTTTCTATACACGCCCTTTTATTTGTTACAGCAAGAATCCATTTTCATCCTCCACAAAATACCTAAAACGTTTTCAGAAAGAGAGTGGAGCTTTGCAGGTAGAAAGCAGGTAGATAGCTCTACCAAGATAGCTCTAGCTTATCACAGAGCAGTACTGCAGGTAAGTAGGTATGAATTCAGTGAGAGCATTTGCAAAACCCATGATTGTTCGAAACATCTATTACTGCACATCCAAGTTCTGGGTGTTGCATCACTGTGAAGTTCATACACAGAGCAGATCGGGCCAGAGGGTATTCCATGTACAGGAAGGCTGTTTCTTTCCAAGCTAGACACTGATTACTGACGTATGTCCTTACTAGAGGTCTGCAGAGCCTCATTCATATGAGATACTGTCTTCAGAAGTTACAACGATCACAAGTTATACTCCGCACACTTATATTAAGCATAACAGCCCACATCTGTGCACATGACCTAATTTCGCTAAAGCCGTTAGAGCAATATTATTTATGGACTGATATTACCGTGCTGATTCAATAAAGTGTTGGGGCCCAAGTGCAGGAGTGTAGGCTACAGCACATTTTTATGTTGTTTTAAAAGAGGGCTGATTGAAGCCAGGGGTAGGCAACCATGGGAAGATAGAGATATAATTTAACTACCATAAAGCTTCTAAAGATCTACTGTGTTTTGGGGTAGTAATGTTAAAAAAAGGAATATAACATTTAATGAGGTTTTCTATTTTTAGGCAGACACTAGGAAACCTATTAAGATCGCTTAAAAAAAACTGTTAACTTGCCTCACTGTATTCTGCAGAGATGAACCGCTGTGCTCAGCGGCCTCTCTGCATCAGTCCATGTCCCCTGCTGATTAGCAGCAACGCTTGCTAACTTTTACACTAAGGCTGCTTGAACTATGCATTGCAATATGTGGATCTATGTGTGTGAATATAGTGCTAGTGTGTATCAATGTAGAGCAGTTTTCAGAGGCTTAAATGATAATACATAATTTAGTACAAAGCCTGACAACTATCACCCACTTTAACTGGAACGGACAGCACTGATGAAAGGCAGCGTAGTCTTATTACACTCAGGAACAGCCCATAAGAAACAGCACTCTCTCAGGAATGTGGAGTAAAGTGGCCAAACATGATTTGAGTTTAGTCTGAATACATTCAGATCTCTTAAAGTAAGATTCCAGTACATACAATGCTGCTTTAACATTGCCAAAGCTACCACTTTGCAATGCTTACGTTATTAGGCAAATTAAGCAGTTAAGTGGTATAAAGTAAACTATACAAAGGCAGACCCATTTGTCACTGATAGCTGCAGCCTTGAATCTATTGTTCTTTCCTTCCGGAATCAATTTCCAGTGGTAGGAAAATCATTTACAAGCAGCACTAATGTAATACTAATGAGCAAGATATAAAATCATGTCAATTAGGAATTTCTTTTGTTAACTTTAAAGGTGCCTGCACATACTGCAGATCCAGCCGCCCGTGAGCGCTGTACAAACCTATATAGCAACATCAAGCTAACATGTATGCTATTCTACATATGTATCCTAATCCTATGAAGAGTAGAGGGGGTGGAGGGAATTTTGATTGGGTTGGGGAATCTCAGGCTGGGGGGAACAATTCTGTGTAGCCAGGTCAAATCCATTCCAGCACATTGACTTTCTGCCTGAGAAGGCTTGGCCAGCAGGTGTAAGGAAATGTCAATCATAAATGGCCTAATAAGATAAACGGTCAATGATGTCTATAGGTACTGTACCATATGAAACGTATTGTATATTTGCAGTGAGCACATATTTCGTTTTAATGTCAATTTTTACAGTATTTTTTTAAAGTAATTTTTGTAACATCAACTTTGTTATAAACTTACCGTTCTCCATTTTTTTATTGCAATTGTACATCAACTACTAGAGTCGGCTGTCAGAGCTGGTTCAGTGCTATCACTCTGCTCTCTACAAATCTGCTGAGATAAGATTTCGGCCACCCAGGATCATGGTTTTTAAAAAGTGGAATAACCAATAGACAAGCATTGTATTGACTTAAAGTGGAAAAGCTCTACCATTGCTAAAAGTAACTCTGTTGTCACACTAAACATCTGCCAGAAAGAGTCCCTGCCTAAGAAGATACATTGTACACACCTCTCTGGTGGCCCGTGTCTATTGCCTTCCCTACGTCCATCCCAATAATGAGGCAGCCTGAGGCGGACGGAGAAAGCAAAGAGAGACAGATAGGAGACAGAGCGACGAGAGACAGCCTGGAGAGACAGCGAAGGGAGACAGCCAGGAAAGAGAGTGAGGAGGAACAGCCATGAGAGTGAGTGAGGAGAGACAGCTAGCAGAGTGAGTGAGAAGAGAGAGCCTGGAGAGAGCAAGGAGAGACAGCCAGGAAGGAGAGCGGAGAGAGACACCCAGGCGAGAGAGAGGAGAGACAGCCAAGAGAGAGAGCAAGGAGAGACAGCCAGGGGAGAGAGAGGAAAGATGGCCGAGAGAGAGTGAGGAGAGACAGCCAGGGAGGAAAGAGGAGAGACAGCCAGGGGAGAGAGCGAGAAAAGACAGCCAGGAGAGAGAGGAGAGAATGAGTTAGGAGGCCTTACACTGACCGCCAGTGTAACGTAAGTATTCTTAGTGACCTGCCAATGTAATGGAGGCTAACAGCAATTTAACTGAGGTATATACAATGACCAGCAATGTAACAGAGGTATATACACTGACCAGCAATGTAACGGAGGTATATACACTGACCAGCAATTACCTTAAAATGATTGAGATTTCTGAATTAGCATAGATGCAATATTTGCTGGATTACAGTAGAATTCACTTTTTTCACTACAATGCCTCTTGAAAGTAAATATAAAACAAATCCCAACTTACAATATTTTGTATCTAAAAAAAGGGTCCTTTCCAGAGATTTTAGCTGCAAAACTGTGTAAGGAAATAAAAAGCAGTCAGGGGTCTCATTCAAAGTGAACTAAACTGTTGGAAGGCTGTAAAAAGGCGTCAGAGAGCTACACAACATGTCTGCTAACCACAGAGGCTGATAGCCACACACAATGACAGATACAGGAGATACAAGAAGAAGAACAGCTGAAATACCTTTCCCACGTTGAGACACTGCCAGAATCCTGGACT